GCCTAGAGCATGGCATTGAAATTAAAGTATTGATTAATTTAAAATAATATTTATCATCAGTTTGATCAAAATGCATCAAAACAGTTAGGTAAGTTTACAACTTTGTAAATCTATTGAAGAGGTTCTTGCTGAGTCTGCAAAGGATACCCTAAGTGTTGTTAGCAAGAACCTCATGATCAATCCATGACACCTCCTGTCGCAACGATATGTTTCGCTTTGGCTAGACCTGAATTAGGAACTCTTGGGCATATTTCGTTTTCATCAATCGCCTGGTCCCAAATCCGGATTCTAGGCTTCCTTTGGATAATTATAAATTGCATGAACCCTTTTTTTCTGGAAATGAATGTACCTTGATATCTAATTTTTTAACTAATGCAGTTATTGGTAATATTTAAAATTGGTGAATTTTGATAGGAGATATTAAATATAAAACGACGTGCAATATCAAAAAGCTAAACACACGCGAGAATATCTTGTAAGAGTCTCAATGGGGTTAACCGTTAGCCGTAAAACGGCCAAGAAATTTAACCATTCAGCGTAAAAATTGACAAATTTTAACGGTAAGTCGTAAAAATTATTAACCGTAAAAGTTTTTTCTGGGGACAACAATGGAAAGATATTAACCGTTAGCGGTAAATTGGCCAACAATTTATCCGTTAGTCGTAAAAGCCATCACTCCATTAAGACCCTCCCTTGTGAGTAAGCGAGGCGTTTTCCCTGGAATGAAATATTAGATTTGACATATTGTTTTCAAGGTAGTTTTATCTGCTGTTTTCAAAAATTAATGTTTTGATTGATTACTTAATGTTGTTATTTCAAATAATGTAATTCTTTCGCATGACTTCTTTTCTTAGAAATAAAGATCACAAACTTCATGTCATATTTGAGTTAAAGAAAACAAATTTAATTCAGGTGATTGAAAATGAAACGGTTGGGCCTAACAGAACGATTTACCACTGACAATTCCTCGATTTTAATTACTTTTTCTGCCTGCCTCTGCTTTTGTTTTCTTTTTTCTTTTTTGAACCAATAAACCGAAAAAAACATACATCCAAATTGCAGAACTTTCCTCTTGCTAAGATACTAATCATTGACTGGCATACGAGACAGCCGATAATCTCGCTGAGAAACCTGGCTCAATAACGCGAAAAATGTTACTTTGTAATTATAAGCAGCCTTTGGTGAACTTTAGCGCGTTTTCACTAACAGCGGGTGAAATTCACTTTCTTAGATGTACGTGGCCCTCTCCTTTGCCTTTGTCTTGTAAACCCGTTCATCTCAGTGGGAAAAAGGAGGGCCACTCCTCGTTTTCTAATACTACTGACGCATTCGAGTTTTCAAGCTCTTCGGTCTTGAAGCCACTTGCCAGGTCTTCGAAAAGTGGCACTGGCTTTTGAGTTGAATCATTGTTTACGCAGTGTACCTGACTTCTTTGCAAACTTTCACCTTTGTTTAGAATGTCAGGTTAGCGACAGGAGACCACACACTATGCTCTATCACGAGTTATAGACAGCCCCAGTTTTAATATTGATTAGGAATGACCTTTCAAACCTGACGAGACTTAACTTCTCTAAAATTTTGGCATGGCCTCACCCGATCAAAGCAGCTAAGAGACGGCAGAAAAGGTATCTTGGAGGAGTTACGTGGTAGGAAAAAGGTTATCAAGTTTTGTTCCATCACATCTCAAGTAGTAAACCTCTTTTTTCAATAACAACAGCCTACTCCCTGAAAACACCTTGCAGAAGTCATCTTCGCCCCAGTGAAGAAAATTGAAGTTTCACGCGAAATTTACTAGCGTCATTCTGAACAAAAGAGTGTCTGGACCTCAAAAGTCCGACGCACCTTCCGACAGAAATTAGTTTATCCACAACTGCTCTCTTTTGACGATTTCTGTTGAATAGCCTATATGAATCAATCGAGGTACCAACGTTAACTGCAACTGGAAATGATCAGTTCGCATATGATTAGAGCTCCTCGGAAATAATTGATACGAAGTATACTGTGAATAAAAAAAAAATTGGTGTGTTGAATTAACCACCTGACTCTAGGGATGTCTTTCAGATTAGCATCGGCTAACATTTCATGCGCAATCATTTTACTGAGTTATTACAAAACTCGAACTTGATTGGCTGAATTTCAGATTATCTCCTTTGCGTTGCTAAGCAATAACTTGTAATATCAACTTTGAACAGTCATTGTTTTCTCTGATCCTTCACAGAAATGAGGAACGCATTTACTCGTTAGTTTTTTTCTCCACATAGGAAAACAACCTCGTTCCCATTGCCTTTTCCCTCAAGTAAGGGAAAAGGCCATGGGAACGAGGTTGATAGGAAAACTGTTTCTTGTTTGTCTTACACCTTGTTTGTCATAACACCTTATTCAAGGTAATGGATTCTTAATAGAAGAAGAAATTGAGTTAGTCGTTGTAATCGTTTATTGTTCTTGGGACTAAGGTAAAGAATCAGTCATTCGAAATCGATCAAATTTCAACAAAATTTCCTTGCATAATTTTCAATTTTTTCCGTGTTCTCATTTGATAAGGCATAGACGTCAAAATATGTACCCTATCAAAAAGTCAAGTTACGTTGGAATTAACTTTTTAAAGATTTTCATGAAGTATGGCTAAGCTCTTCGTATTTTTTCACTTCCGTCTTCTTTTCCATTTTTTTTTTTTTTCATTAAGATTGGGGAAACTTGTTGGAAATTTAGGACGATAAATACATAATTAAAACTTGTTTTAGAGACAGTAATGATAAAAAGAACTTTAAAGAGTTGTAAAAACGTATTTTTTTTCGAGAAAGATTATTCTTGTCATGCTCAACTTAATTTCTTATTTTAATCTTTCATGGAGAGATCCTTAATGAAAAAACATCAACTTGAAAGTGCTCGATGCCGCTGATTGAAAAAAACGACATATCTAAGTGACGGTTAGCATCCTCAGGCCACATTAGATTCTGTCGGGAATGGCTGAATTACACTCAAGCCGCTAAATCTAATCAGCTCCATTTGTATTTATTCATTTCATTGCTGTGAATAACAGTTACTATTCCCAGAATTTGTCCAACTACGATGTCAACATTATCCTGCCGACGGAAGTTGTTTCGAACACTTCTATGCAATACTAGCTCTTTCCTCTGCTCTCTACGAACATTTCCACAACGATTTAATAAATAATGCTTCGCAAACACTCAACTGCAATTTGCCTTAAAAGTAAATCCTGCGATAAGATTTCTGGAGACAATCGTTTGCTAACAAATATTGTTAACTGAACACAAAACAGTAATCATTTAAATGGAACAAAGGATGCTTAGTGCATGAAATTTGTGGACATTTTTTTTAGCCCTGGAGGAAATAATTACAAATTGCGTTGAGGAAAAACGGGGAAATTTAGCATTAAAGAAAGCTAGTTTATCTTTTTCTCATATCCTGGTTTCATTATGTTTTAATTTAGGTCCTCGATGAAAATGAAGCTTTCGTTCGATTATCTTTCCTATCTAAATAACCTGAGGCAAACATTAGATACAAAATGGAAATATTTTAAATTGGAGGTTCAGAATTCAAATCGACTTTTAACAATTTTTTTTCAGGCTTTGATCTGTTTAAAATAAATTAAACTCTTTTTTAAGAGAGATCAAGAATAGTCTAGTCATTTAGGCTTTTAATTAATAACAATTGCAGCCACTGACATGTGAATGCCCATATGGTATTCGGAAACATTGTAAAGCTGCAAATTAACGTCGCGCTTCCGAACCGACAAGTGTTTTGTTTTCCTATAATCACATTATCTTACTGCATGGTTCCTAACCTAAAATGTGAACTACGCTTAAGGGGTAAATTAATTTACAGAAAGCAAATATATATCAACAGCGATCTCTTGTTCCTCAAAAGTGTTTGTGGTATTCTAGGGTTCACGCGTAAACTTCAAGGTAAGTATTTAGCTTTAGTGCATTCACTTCTTGGAAACTTAAAACTGACGTGGACTTCCAATACCCTAAAACAATAGAGATTTTACGCTGAAAGGACGCTTTTCAAAGCCAGCTATTTACATTGTTAGCCTGAACACTCATTAGTTATGGTATTCATCTCAAAACACAAAAGGTTCAGTTCTTTTCTATATTTTTGCACATCAGACCAGGCAGGATCTCTTACTTTCTTTCAAACTTGCAAAAGAAGGTGGGGCGAGCAAATCCATTTTAATGCTCCAAGTTGGAAGTTTTTGTAAAAATTAAATTTGAATGTAATCACACCAGATGTTAAAAACATGAGAATTAAAAAGAAAAATTATCAATCCTGGGGAAACGTTTTAAATCGTAGCAGTTCTCTTGAATTGTCTCGGGTAGCTGTAGCTTTTGTGATTTTTGTTTCCTTTTTGTTCGTGTCCAGCGCATTTGCATTTTACGCTTCTTTCTTATTTTGTAATGATTAAAGAATCTTTCGTTGTCTTCAGTTCCATTAATCATTGTTAAGATGAACTGGGATCAATGTTATTTCCCTTCTGAGTATTTTGTGAGAGAGTTTCTTTTTTTTTTCACCTTAGAATTTGTACTTTGGCGTAATGATACACACCTAAAAGTTCGATCAAGAAAGTTGATTCAAGAAAGTTAGTTCAATATCACCATTGTGGTTAAGTTATTTTTCGACAAAATTGAGCCGGCAAGAAATTTTGTAGAATTTTCAACGTTACAGTGAGTCCACCTGCTTAGACTTCAAAAGCAAACTGTGTTGCTGAGCCAAGAGAAAAAAAGGAGTCAAGTTTGAGCTTTTGAAAAAAATTGAAAACGGAAATTGAATTGATTGAAATGTGGGAGGGGTGAAACACATTTTGTTCTCTACCTTCCGGCGCTAGGATTTAATGAAACTGAAGCAAAAAATAATTGTTTCTTGCGATTACTAACCATTTTTGCTACAACAGTGAAACGCCCACATTGAAAAAACTCTTTTCAGGTGTATTTCAAAGAAACGTTAGGACTTACTGAGTATTTGTATTTTCACTCTGGCAGATGGTATCCAAGTCCCAGCTCGCTATTGTGCTCTTGATATGCGCAGTAATTCTACTTTTAACCCAGCCAGTTGTGAGTCAAAAAGGTGCGCTGCGATGGGGTAAAAGGGACAGCGGTCTTCCTGACAAGTTTGCGTCAGAGAACTTCAGAAATTGGCGCATGCAACGGTACAACAAGAAACGGGAATACCTCGGTAACTTATTCCTTTTTTTTTCTTTTATCAAAAACTTCTGGATTTTGATTGTAGTTTCATTACATTTTCATTATCATCCTTTAATTGATGGCCTTAGTTATTTTTATTAAACATGAGTATTTTGGTCCTACTTGCTCTAACCGAAGGACTGTATGGAACCTTTCTACAATTATTTCAGATGTGAAGAATGTTATTATTTTTGAGGAAAATTTCAAATTAGCAACAGACATGACTGAGATAATTTATCTACGAGTACAGTTTATTCATTTCTTTATTTATTTATTTATCAATTCATTCATATAATCATTTTTGGGATCTTAGAATTTGTGGGCATCAAAGATGGTGTATTATCCGTTCTAGCCAGCATTGATCAAACAAAATTTCATTCGAAGTGGTTTAACACTGCAAGATCGAAGTTAAAAAATATTGCAGAGAATGGATATTAGATAAAAGGAATTTCATACACACACATCATGGTTTCGTGCTATTTTTTGAGTTCTCGCCTCGCTCGTTCATAAAACATTATTTTGTTACTAAAAAAACTATGTTTGGCGTCGCAATGTAGAATCTTATAAAAATATTTATCCCTTGGTGAGGGAGAAGGCTTAATATTTGCACCATTTATTGCAGTAATCTGAGCGACATGAGATTTATTGAATCTTAAAATCAATCATTTTGATGGAATTCTTTCGTTAATTTCCTGCAGATGAAGAGGGGAACAGAGATATAGAAGGATATGGCTACGATTAAAACCGATTAAATATGCAGTTTACAAAGTCCACGTCCCAAGCTTGGAATTCATAAAAATGTTGCTACGTCCTCTAGTATATCAAATTCAGTTGACGTTCATGTTATTAAACTTGTTTCAACTTGAATTTCTCTTTACAGAGTGGCTTTATGATTTTCTGAGTGACTCTATCTTTGTATGCGTTAGAAATAACTCCCCTGCCGATCTTTTATATTTCAAATTTTCTTTCTAGTTTCTTCGTGTAAAAGGGCTTGAATTTTAATGCATAAATGCGACGCCCGATAATCATTAACCTGGAAACAATTTACACTATTAAAATAAGACAGTGGGTTGTAATGAAGTATTGTCTCATAATGCTTCACTAAAAGTGTTTTCACCTCAACGAGAAACCACAGTTATTTAACGACCTTAAATATATGAGCGATCATATTGTGCTGTTTTACATGTTTCCTATCTATTTCCTCTTTTGCTGCTGATTTTTATAAAACCAAACTTGATCCTTCGCCAAGTTCTGGACTTACGCACCATTCATATAAATACATATAGACGTACTTAAAATTAAAAATTATTCTACACGCAGTAGGAAAGACTCACTGAAACATAAATTTATTGGTACTAAGGCTTATAGAGGAAATGCGATTTTGACAATATAAAGTCGAGATTTTTATTCAGGGCACTTAAAAGTATTTCCAGCACAGATTTCATGATTGATCTTCTCAGTACTTTATTTACTAACAACTTGAACGGATGCATATATGACCTACTTGAGCTAAAGCCAACTTACGACTTAATCGATCAAAGGTGCAATGATAACATTATTTTGGATGGTCAGAGGTAAAGCCCTTTGCTTTAACTTACCATTTATCGGCTGTCTTGGGCCTGTGTAACAGAAGAAGACATACGCCTTGCTAGTCCGGCGGCGTTGCAATTCGATGATTTCCGTAATTTTCTATATTTATCTCATCGCTGTCTAGAAAGTGACGACGATCAATTTTTAGGATTTATGAGACTTCATGTGACGTCTGGATCGTAGACGGCAAGAAAGAAGAAGACTTTTGGTTTCTTTTACCGATTTGCCATGTGACCCACTTTTGCAGTTTTAAAAAAGTTTATTCAAGGCATATTCCTATACTAAGGCAGCATATTTATCTCTGTCAAGAAAGTGACGACGACGATCAATTTTTAGGACTTAGGAGACTTCATGTGATGTCTGGATCGTAGACCGTACGGCAAGAAAGAAGATGAAGACTTTAGTTTACTTTTACCGATTTGCCATGCGGCTCACTTTTGCAGTTTTAAAAAGGTTATTCAAGGCATATTCTTATACTAAGGCATCGAGGAAGAAACCTCTCATCTTATTGCTATGGCCAAAAGTAGTTTAAAATGGGTCAAACTGAGTGACGAATATATTAGACTTTAACAGCGGTTGCGAGTTACATGTGAACAATGTGTCGAATTTATTAGGTAAATTTGAACGTATTTCCAATCAGAAAATCGTCAGCTTCAAACAAGAAATCGAGTGAGATAGATCCGCAATAAACATTAACTCAACGAATACATAGACCTGTGTGCTTACCTAAGGAACTTCGTTATTGCTTGTGCACCCTTGGGACGATTTCAAGTTTTGGCGATAAACTCACACCACTCAGAGCTAAGTGGCGGAAACCATGAATGATGGGTATAATTAAATAAAAGATTCAAAAGAAAAGACCTTACGATTCTGTAAATGTAGTTCCGCAACCGCCTTTTCACTTTGTTAAATCATGTTACGTGATTGGATGAATAATAATTTTAAGAAAATAGACATTTTTTGCGCCCTAAACTTTCAGCCCGTTTGAAATCCGTTTCTTTTTCCTTCAGAAATTAGTTCCTTTGTTGCTGATTTGTTTGTTTAATTTCTCTTTTCAAGAACTCATCTTCAAGTAGATCTTGAAAAGTGCTGCTTATCAGTTTTTGCTAGCCTCTTCATATCTTTTGAAGCCTCGATGAACTGACTGATAAAGACAATTTGGAAGATACCATACGAAAACGTAGGGCAGAAAATTTTAACGACGGAAATAGTATTTACCGTTGCATTAACGAAAACAAACGCACGAGGAAAGCCGGCTTCCGCGCCATTTAGAAGTTCATCTATGTCAATGAAATAAGGCTAATGATGTTTATCCTCCACACAATGTGTAAAATTGCCAATGATAACCTTAAGCAATTCACATATAAAAAATTATGTTAATTAAACTTTCGTGAGCTAAAATACGGATAGGAGAAACGGAAGATTTGATCTGATCGAAACTAGTTGCTAATAATAATTGCTTTCCCATCCCAGACACGGTTTTCACGCAAGCTTCTTAGCAAGTGTTTATTAAGTCTATTTTTCACGTCTGCCGTGCGCACAGGCTTTTAATTAAACATCAAGGTTGTCAGCAGATGCAGATTTTTCTTTATGTTTTCTTTTTCTTAACATAAGACAGAAGCATCCTGATTTATTTGCAGAAAAGCGAAAGCAAATGGGGAAATGTTTTATCGAAATTGAGTGTGATGTGTGTCAAAACTGACAAGCAAAGTTATGTTCAGTTTTTTATCTCAAAGAAAGAATGATACTCGCTGTTCGTCTCAGTGATCACATCGACAGAGCGACTGAAATCGGCAAGCAAAGGATCTTGGACATACGCCGGTCAGGCACAACTTATTAAGCGAAATTACCGCGCTCATTAACAGGACAAAGTGCCGTTAATTACCACGCGAAACGCAATTTAAGGCTTTCAGATAAAAAGAGTCATCGAAACAGACAAGAACTTGACAAGTGTTTTCGAAACAGGAAACATTTTTGCTGAAAAAACTGAACGAGCAGACAGATCCAAATTGAACAGTCCGTCAGGTACGATCATACAATGTTAGGATAGCAAAACATACTTCTATATTCCCACCAATGAGAAACCCCTTTTTGTATTATCGTTCCTAGTTTCTAAAAGCTTCTCCTTCAAACTCGGCAACGATCAGACCCTTTAAGTTAAATTGTAAACTCGAACATTGCAAACTTCGCTGGTCTCGACATAGGCTACAAAGCTTCAAGTCCGCAAACCTGCCGTAAGCTAATTCTTTTGCTTTTGCTTTTGCCAGTAATATTTGAGGTGTACGATAGTAATTTTGGCGGAGAGTCATCGAATGTTCACTTTAACTTAACGAAAACGGGAAACAAAAAAAGATTGTATGTGAGACCTTACATTTCTCAAAATCTGTAATTAACTGTCAGAACGATAGATTTAATAACCAGAGCTCAGTAAGAGTTTGTTTTTACGATGTGTTCTTTACATACACTATATCTGAATATATATTTTTTAATTATTGTATCCAAAACTTGAAGCAATCGCCTCTATTCCAGCGTTTTTCACAGGTTCAAGATCGTCTAATTGAAACTCTTTGAGCTAATTTCAATAGTGACTCGGAAGGTATTCTTTTTCACAAATTCCGGCACCTTTAAAAGTATTATCTTTTGCTTTCTTTCTTTTTGAAACATAGATGCGTCACGGTCACAAAATAAATACAGTAGAATTCAAGTGTTTCGGGTATTGCTTAACAACATCATTATTTCAAAAACTTCTTTTCATTGACATTTTCTTTAATTTTTGTGTCACATAGCAAGTGTTCCTAAGCAAATGTACCGTAAAGTAACTTCCCTTTTTTCCTTTTTTTGTTCACGAGCTTTCAGTAGCTTTATTTATAATTCAGAATGAGGTATGGGCTAGTACCTGGGGGCGACTATCGAGTAAAGGGAAAAATATTTCTAAACGAATACACGGAAAAAACGTACCTCAACTATTTCCTTGTAAACTTTATTTCTGTAATGTGAACTTTTTTTTGTAGAAACTATGGTGTCTTCTAAAGCATTTTTCGTTTCATTCCTGGTTTCTTGCGTTCTTCTCTCGGTTTACTGTCAAAAAGCTGAGGAACAGGGGCTTCCCGGCATTCGCTGGGGGAGACATTTTCAAGAGGATGACCTCACTCAAAGAGGTGGAGAAGGAAAGCTTTGGAGAGTAATGGAGCAAAAAAGAAACCATCATTATCGATTAAACGGTAAGACATGCAAAGATGTAAAAGGAGATGTAAAAAAGCAGCACTTTTAGTCTTTACCCTTGAATTTGATCAATTTGTATTTGTTTAACCGAGTAAAACCTGATAATTTCACTTTTATTGTACAGTTTTCATATCAAAAATAAAAATTTTTTCATATAAAAAATAGAAAATTAAGTTAATATTGTCAATAAAGGTTCCCGTTTAAATTTTTTTATATTGCATAGAGATAGGTTAGTGATGTTCCTGAGGCTACAAAAATGAGTGGAATGTCAATGCTGCCCTAAGAATTTTTAACTGGAGGGCCTCAGTGTGGTTAGCTGTCGACCCTTACGAAAGTAACGGAAGCTCTCACATCTAATTACCTTTTATATCTGGATAACATATGACTCACCTCGCGAATGAGGGCTAATTTGTTTTTTATAGCCGCCATTTTGAAAAAAATTACGCGTCCGAGGTCTGGTACGAGAAGAGGGCGGGTTAGGAAAAAAGAAGCCAGCGAAAATAGTTCTTATTCATAAAAAAAAATGATAATAATAAAATGAAATTGTGATAATAGGAAGAGGAATCCCTTTTCTAGAATCAAATGTCTTAAGATATGCTAAAATACGTCTTTTCATTTCAACAGATGGAGGCCAAAAGCAAGAATCGTAGGAACAGTAAAAAAATCCTCAATTAAAAACCTTCGTGAACAAAAGGGATCCCTGTCTGTTAAATACATGATACTTCATCAACTGAGAGTTCATGACTTTTAAAGAAATACTAGAATCAGTTCTGTGTTTGGAGAGCACATCAAGTCGTGTGGTAAATGAGTTCTCCGTACATGCCACGTCAGTGATTAACTTCTAATGTAAATGTAGGCTTATCTTTGCTGTTATCCCGGCCTATGATATTCGGATATTGTCATAAGTCACTGAATAAATTGCTGCCTTTGATCCCGAAAAGTCTATCTCATTGTTCCATCCGAATATTCAATTCAATAAGTTTCCTAACGTAACATACGTCAATTTAGATTCTTAAGATTGTATGTAAGCATGACTATAATATTCTGATTAATTTCTCTGAAAGCAAGCACATTTAAATGGAGATAGAAGGGGTTATACGAAATAAATGGGGCAGGTTTCTAAAGAAACTGCGGTAGGTGAGTATAAAAGGGTAATTTAACACTATCAACGACTGAGTTGATAATGTAAATTGACCTCCGTATAAGTTTCAAAGCTGACGTTTCGAGCGTTAGCACTTCGTCATTCGCTCGCTGGTTATACGAAATAATCAATTTGAATAAAAAATGATCCTCTTCCGACACATGTCTCACAGAAGAAACTTTCAGTTGGAAACATTGTGCCTGAGATCAGTCGTTTTGGTTGCTGTTTTTAAGCTTCAAATTCGTAGCTGAAGTTTAGCCAATGATACTTTTAAGCTTTGTTTGCAAATTACATTTTGAACAGTCTATAGTTTTCTGGGTCTTTCCATAGCATTTTTAATTTTTTTAATTTAAAAGAATTTGTCAGGCTTAAGCGAGACGGTCAGAACGGAGATTCTCAGGAAATCAATTTACGAAATCTTATTATGAAGTCAAATAAGCATTTAAACTTTTTTTTAACGGTTTGAGCTCTTCTTTATTCATTGTTACATTATTGTTACCTTGTTTCATTATTGTTATCTTGTTTCATCATTTCTACTCACACAATGTGGCTAAGATTCGTCTATAACTGCGGCATGACCAAGCTAATTCTATATGATAAAACCCCATTAGCGCAAACTTTTTTTTTAAGATAATCCATAAGGCATTCGGGGTCATAAAGGTTACCGAGGGTAAATTTTTTATATGGTTCTCAACCAGAGAAATGTTTATCAAGTGATTGTTGTTAAGGACGAAGCTCGAATCAATTATCACGCTGAAGATTGGCTGCAAATAATCTACCAAGCTAGTTTGAATATAAATCTACTGGTCATTCAGAACACAACAAAAAGAGAGGTTCAAAACCGTATACAATCTAAAAGGGTCACGGTGCAATCTGTGTGGCCATGGATTAAGTAACGATACTTGTTTCTTTATGTTGTCGCCATTTTTTGCGATTGCGCATGATCAAGAAGATGGTCACGCTCACAACTGCTATAGAGACAATACCACTGACGACCGCAATGATTGCCACAGTTGTTGTGAAAGACTTCTCTCCGTCCAGGTGATCCTCATCCAGGTGATCAGATCCTGCTGAACGAAGAGAGCGAAAGCTAGTTATCTGTTTCTCTGTCCAAACTGCATTTTACTTCAAAGGTTTTAGCATCCGTGCTCACTTTTAAGAAAAATATAAATCAAATTTCTGCCTTCCTTGATCTCTTTTGGAATGATGTGAACATTTTACAAGTCTTTTACTCCTTTTAGTATCCAAGGCCATCAGCTGATGCAGTTTCCTGCCCCGTTTCCCACATACGGGAAATCTGAGGGTCTCAATGGAGATAAAAACTGAAAAGCATTATCTTTCGAGTT